CGGCCTCCCAAAGTGCTGGGATTACGGGAATGAGCTACCATGCTTGGCCAGGAGTAGTGGCATTTAGAATGATGCTTACCACAGTGTGTCTTTTAATTGTTGTTGTTGTTGCTTTTCTGCATCATAGATTGAAAGATAAAAATACGGACATTGGAGCCAAACTGCTGACATTCTAATTCCGGCTCCAATATTTACTAGCAGTACAAACTTGAGGAAGTTGTTTAACCTCTTAGTTCCTCAATTTTCTTATCTGAAAAATGGGGTAATAAATAATAGTATGGGTTTTACTGAGTCATTTAACACTTTAAATGAGCTACTGTGCCAGAAAATAACTTGTCACAGTGTAAGCAGTATGTTGGACTTTGTTATTATTATAATTGATCTGATTATTACATATCCACTAATTTCGAGTTCATATTACTACTCTTCTTAGAGCAAATCCATCACCTTATTTCTCTGGATTTTAGCTTCTCTGTAAATTTTGCTATTATTTAACTGTCAAAAATATAACATATCTAGTCTGTTGGGCTGCTACATAACAAAATATCATAAACTAAATGGCTTATAAACAACAGAAATGTATTTCTTATGGTTCTGGAGGCTGTGTAGCGTACAACCAACACAGTGGCAGATTTGGTATCTGGTGAGGGTCCTCTTCCTGATTCATAGATAACGCCTTCCAGCTGTATCCTCACATAAAGGAAGGGGCAGGCAGCTTTCATGAGGGCACTAATAAAAGCCAGGGCCTCTCTTACAAACACATGCACGAGGAGTACTCGTGACCTAATCATTTATCAAGGTCCCCCCTCCTAATATCATTAAGTTAGGGATTAGCTTTGAACATATGAATTTTGGGAAGATACAAATATTCAGACCATAGCAATTTATAATGCAAAGGATACATCTAAAAGAAATTTAAGAGTCTCTAACCTAAAGTAAACAACAAAGCATTTGTTTACATAAAAGGAAACTATGTTTATTTATAGAGTTTCTTTTAAGCAAAGGAAACATAGCAGATTCAGTTGCTTCCATTATAAACTTGAGACTAGAACTATAGAACCGTTTTTAGCGCCATACCTATTTTTTTAAATGGTCTTTAATTCCATGTTATGACCAAGAGAAAAAAAATTATGTAAAAAGGTAGGGACAGGAAGCTTAGGGAAGAACACAGAGAGTGAAAGGAGACTGTGGAAGGAAAGGTAGAAGGTGTAATAGGAAAGGGAATAGAGAAGAAAAGAAAGAAACAGAGGCAAGAGGAGAGGAAAAACTACTTAGAGAAGGAGAAGGTAAGGAAAAAGGGGAAAACGGTGGCAAAATTTGTTGAGTACCAATTAGGTGCCTGCCATAGCTAAGAAGTTAGGTTATCTCACCTCAGAACATCTCAGTGAAGTAGGTTTTACTGTTACCACTTTACAAATGAGAAAATAGTTATTAAGTGAGTTTATTGTCCAAGGTCAATTATGTTATATACAGAAGTTAGAACCCACATCTTTCCAGAGCTAATTATAATGTCCTTCTCCCATGTCCTTAAGGACTAATGATGAAATAAAACATACTCCTCACGGCCTGTTGGTCCAGCCTCAGTGTTCCTGTCATACTGAGAAAAGATTTAATCAGGCTTAGTCGAGGCTTTGCTGTTACTGTCTGTTAGCATTACCTACGCATCTTAATTATTTGAGTCAGGACATTTGGATTTTATTTAAAGAGGATCCCAAATGATTTATGTCCCAGGATAAGTCACTCCTCTGAGCTGCAGAATCCCCCTCTATAAAATGTATGCCTTAGACTAGACCACCTGCCAAATGCTGAAAATCTATACTTATTAGGTGTCTTCACATAGGCAAAGGCTGTAATGTGGATTAGAGAGTAGGTAAATTTTGTTGCTCTAGTTAGAAGCACTGTAAAAACTTTTGCAGGTTGCTCATCGTGCAACCTTAGTAGGCAATATTCATACAGAGTCATAGGCCATGGCCCCGGCTCCGGGAAGCCAAAATAAAAACCAATGGGTAGAGGTCAAAAAAAGGAAATTGTGGCTCAGTAGAAAAATGACAAACTCTGTTATGTTCAGAATTACCTCTAAACATTGTAAAAAACGTTACCTTTGGGAGTTCTAAAGCAGAGAACACATGATGTAGGAATTCTACCATTGCATTTGAGTTTAGAGAGTACCTAAGTAACATTCAGAACTGGATTTTTAATGTGGTCAAAGCTAGCTGGGTGATCTTCTTAAAATCATTAAGATGTAATTTTCTGAGTTATTATTACTATGGCTACAAAAATAGTGCCGAACTATATGGCTACTGAGGTAAGAGACTGTGTGTGTGTGTGTGTGTGTGTGTGTGTGTGCACGCGCGCGTGTGTGTGTCTACATCCAACATCACTCTATCTCTGCAAAACATCCTGCATATGAAGAAAACTCAAGAAATGTTAGCTTTCATTATCATTATTATCGTTACAACTCTCAGTGAAGTTTCTAGCACAGCAGAGCGTTGCTTTACCTCTGTAGCCGTGGGGTTGCCACAGTGTTTGCAGGCAAAGAATGATGGCACTCCCAGAGATCTCACTTTTCATTCTTAATTGTAGAGCAAACATGTAACCTAAAATCTATTTCAAACTTATAGCCAGAATTTGGTTAAAGGGTGGAGGTTTTCCCCTTCTTGTAGATAAACAGAGTGGTTAAAAATGATGATTATGGCCCGCCATAATATTCATTTAGAGATAATTTTTAAATTATCCTCTAAAAAGTCTATTTTAAAATAACTTTAAAAACGGACCTTCTTTAGGGCCCAGTGTTAGCAAACAGAATCCCCACTATGACTCACAGAATTATACAGCATCTTTTTCAAACCTTTCACTCTAGCGGGTATATGTCCTCATTGAGAAATTAATTTAGTTAATTCAGCTTAAAAATTCCACTGTCAAAAAGCTTATTTCCTGTGGGAGTATCTTTTTTTGTTGATAAAAGATGCAGATGAACCTGAAAAAAAATGTGAGTCTCTTCCTCAAGCTGTAAACATGCAGCTGTCAAAAGTAATCACTACATCACAAAAGCTGGATAAGGAATCAAAGTATTTTCGTTGATTCATAAGTAAAACAGCAAAGAAGCTTATTTATGCTTAATGAAAAAAAAGACTGAGGAAGTACTACGAAGCTTACATTTCTCCTACTTAAGTCACAGTCCTCGATGTGGCTCCAAGCAAGCTAACGTCATTCTTACCTACGGGACTTCACTTGCATTATTTGATAAGACTCTGTCCTTGATTAAATTTGAGTCAGGCTTCTCTGGATCCTATTCTCAATTAGGCCTCGACCTTAGGCTTTTTATTTGGCCTCTTTAGCCCGGTTTTAGCAAGAATCCTCCTGAGTCAGTTTTCAAAAATCTCTCTCCCTTGGTATCTGATCAAATTCCTTATCCCATAGTCTTGATAATTTATCAGCCTGGACTGCCTTCAACAAGAATCCTGCCAAGTCCCTTTAGCCAGAATTCCCCTTACCCTTGACTTTTTGTCTCAGTAATTTTCCAGGCACTAACTGCCACCCTTACTCCACAGCTCTTTGGCTATACGTCTTCACTTGTGCTTGTTGTATTCAGAGTTAAGACCAATCTCTCTCCCCTGCTGCAAAATCTCCATTGCAGTGATCCCTCCTGAATAAACTCTTCCTTACAGTCATTCACAAGTGACATAAATATTTTTTATTTAACACATCCTTCCTATCTTACCTCCCACATTAATTTTCACTTCTTCCTCTTCTCCACTTTATTCATTTATTTATTAAAAAATTCATTTCTTCAGCAAGAGTTTATTTTGCCACTTATACATATGTAACTGCTTGGCCTGAGGGGATTCACAACCTAGTAGAAGTGCTAAAATGACATTAGGTCATGTTATTCTTCCTGAAAAATCTCTCCTAATTTTTCCAACCTGTAGTGCCTCTTAGCTAAGGTTTTGATCTCATAGCATTTTATGTTATTTACCCCATGAGGGTAACTCTTATTTCCCACAATTAAGTTCTTTAAACAAAGTGACCCAGCTCAACTAACTACTGCTATCACTGAGAAGTACCTGGCTGCAGTTCCTCCACCAACCTAAACTCACCATGTGCTTTTTTTTTTTTTTTTTTGCTTTGCTTTTTGAGACATGGTCTCTGTCACCGAGGCTGAAGTGCAGTGGTGTGATCTCAGATCACTGGGATCAGGTTGAAGCCATTCTCCTGCCTCAGCCTCCAAAGTAGCTGGGATTACAGATACTTACCACCATGCCCCAGCTACTTTTTGTATATTTAGCAGAGATGAGGTTTTGCCATGTTGACCAGGCTGGTCTTGAACTCCTGACCTCAAGTGATCTATCTGCCTTGGCCTCCCGAAGTGCTGGGATTATAGGTATGAGCCACTGAGCAAGACCACCCTATGCTCTTCATCTAAATCAGCCTGGTTTCCCTTTTTTCTGAGGGACAACTTGTTCTTTTCTCTGTATTCCCACTCAGATCTGTAGGATTAATGAAATAATCATTCAAGACTCAGAGGAAATCTTCCTAGGGGAAGGTTTTTTAGACTCTGTTTTTCTCTCTCTAAACTCCTAGAGAAAGCCCCATAAATGGTTGCTGAATCTGAGAATACATACAATGTCTGTAACACTGCATTATTTTGTTAATGCTACTTATAGTGTATTGTTTGGATAATTATATTATTTGCCCATTAGTTCATATTTATGTTCTTTCTAACTAGACTGAAGGCCTCATCCAAACAAAAGATTTATCTTCATCCCCTCCTCACAGTGCCTGGCTCAATGTTCAGTGTAGCCATCAACAAACACAAATCAAATACTAGCTGAAATTCAGTCAGTAGCAAGAGATCTGCAAAGTCATTTCAGGAAGCTTGCCTTAAAAACCTCTTTCAAGTACAGAACTTTTGTAGGATTATTATTCTTCAAGGGTACAAATGTGTCTCATTAATGCAGCAGATTTCCTTCCAAAATTATTCTCCTGTTTCAGATCTTTACCTGAGTCTGCCATCCTCTGCTGCAGCACCTCCTGGTATAATCTTCGTAATAAATATGCCAGGATCATCTCCAATGTGGGGATTATCTGTCCCCCCAGCAATACTGAAGCCCAGGCCAGAATTCCCCTGTAGAAACAAAAAGCAGATATTAAATGATGTGTCTGTCACCTAAAACCTAGTTCCTCTTGCTCTCCACATTATCATATTACTACTCAAATGGAAATCAGGTGACAACAGTCTTGTATGCTAAACCATAAGTGCACAGTTAGCAGACAAAGGAAGGTCAGGAAAAACACTCAGGTTTATTTCTGCACTGTAAGGGTGCAAGAGGCATTATATTTTTGCTTTTAAAAATTGCTTCCTTTATGGAGCTATTAAAATCACCTTTATGAAGCAGGAGATGAAAACTTATAAACTGTGTAATATGAAAAATATAAAGAATCATTAGAATATCAATTGTAAAAATTATACATTCATGTGAAAAAACATGGAAAAAAGTTACATGAAAGTATCTGATTTAATAGAAGAGTGAGCTTGGGTGTTTTCATTTTCTTATTTCTGGTATTGTTGTTCTATTATCACTTATCTGTCAAATAAATGTGTTTCGATGTAACAGAAAACTTCCACTTCAGAAGACAGGGCCCCTTCTAGAGTCATAATAAACTAGAGATACTTTTGAACAATAAACAGGCTTTAATTTGCAACAGCAATAGAAAAGGCATGCAATAGCGCTGTAGCATGTAAATCTGAGTAGCTTGTATTCTAATAAAGCTTTTATACTTACTCTTGTAGATTATAGTAATTGACATCCACTGTGTGTGTATATATACATATACATATTCATATATGTGTTAATCTCCTTCTAAAGATATATAGATCTAAGGATATATATGCACATATGTATGGAAGGATGTGTATATATATCCTTCTAAAATTTGTTTGTAAGGCAAAATTAAAAGTCCCCCCCAAATCCACAAACCATCTTATCTCTTATTTAGTCTCTTTTAATCCCTCTCTCCATGGCTACATATGATTTCATAACTGTGTTGTAATTTTTTCCAAATCACATTATATTTTATGCCCTTTCTGTGTCATAGCTAGGTAGTCTTTATTTTATTTATTTATTTATTTATTTAGAGATGGAGTCTTGCTCTGCTGCCCAGGCTTGAGTGCAGTGGTGCAATCTCGGCTCACAGCAACCTCCACCTCCTGGGTTCAAGCAATTCTCCTGCCTCAGCCTCTTGAATAGCTAGGACTCCAGGCATGTGCCACCACGCCTGGCTAATTTTTGTATTTTTAGTAGAGACAGGTTCACCATATTGGTCAGGCTGGTCTTGAACTCCTGACCTCATGATCCATCCAGGTAGTCAGTCTTCATAATTATTCATCATAAATGGCTTGTCATGTTTCATCAAGGTCACATATCATCACTTATTTTAACAGTCCCTTGTCACCAGATATTAAATTTCTCTACATATTCTTATAACAAATAGAACTTACTAAATTTATGATCACTTGATTAATTTCCACTCTTGGGTAAAAAGAGATGAGGACTACAAATTTAGTAGTTATTCCAGCAAAATTAATTAGGGCACTCGATTAGTCAGAAAGGTTCAATGTCAAGATCAGCTATAACTTGATAGCTATACCACTACAAATGTCAAGGTAATGTTTAGCAATTTTTATTGACTGAATTAATAAAACTGAATTCCAGAGGGTTGTTTTTACAATTATACATGTATTACATACGTTGAAAGGGTGAAATGAATAACTCAGCTATGGCAACTAAAATCCCACATCTTCATACTTCTGATGTCTTCTCTAATTCTGTTTGCCCTTTGAAAAATTTCAGTGTTCACTGAACAGAGCTATTAATAGCAGTCATATAAACACAAATTTATTTAACATTTATTAAATATAACCTCTGTGCCTGGTACTGGACTAAGTCCTGGACTTACAGTAATAAAAATGTCAGTTTATAAGGCACATGAAGAGGAAATGCAAGTGTAGGAGTGGCTAAGAGGAGAACCAAACACAATGACTTAGTGACATAGTGGGAAGAACTCATGTAAAAGCCCTTAGGTGAGAAAGGGCATGCCCGACCCAAGGAACAGACAATAAAGTTGGAACAAAGAAAGCAAGAAGGAGAATTGGATAGATATGCCTTAATCATGAGATTTACAAAAGCAGAATGTATGAGAAAGCATTTTGGATTTTAAATACTTATTGACACCAAATGATTGTGTTAGTATTGGTTGAGAATTTCCTATGCAACTGACTAAACTAAGGCTGTAGAGGTTAAGGCCAGATGATTTCAGCCTTCATGGATATTCAAAGCATAGCAGAAAAAGCAGTGACACTCTGGTATCTGGTGATCAGCATTTTTCACATACTGTGTAACGTCAACTGCACTGTCAAGTAAGTAGCCATGGAGATAGTGTTTAGTGGACTTAATGAGGCAGTTCTCTAAGATCCAGAGGTTTGGGAAAGAAAAAATGGGAGGATGAGTATTTTCAATGTAATTTGGGTCAAACTCTAAGTACATCAACTAGAATGTATTCGTTTCACTGTAGTTAGCATCTCAGAAATAATAATTTCTTGATTAATGAGAGTAGGGAAGGAGGCAGACAGAGATTGGGTGATAACCAAATGCTTTCTCCTAATAATGTCAACACGTTTGGAGAGGGTACTCAACACTTTGTCATCTGAGAAAGATATTCATGATCTAACTCTTAACCTTGTCAACTTTATTTCCAGCTTCACACTTTACCACGCAGAAACAATGAACTGAACTGCAGGCTCTTTTCTGCACAGACCTCACTGTATTTCATCTCTTGGTGTTTATTCATGCGATTTTCTCTACCAGAAACTTCACGTCTTCTTGACTAGTTGAATTCTTTCCACTTTCGGAGATGTGACTCAGACAGTACCTGCTCGAGGTAATACTAAATTATCACCCCAACTCTTCTCTAGATACATCACTTTTCTGTGTTTTTGCAGATTTTTAGGCTTCCTTGTGTTATGCATTGTGTTATTTTGTAGTTGTCTGTTTCGGAATCTATCTTTCCTTTAAATTGGGCTTCTAGAAGGCAGGATCTGTGTAGTATTCATCTTTGTTTAATTGGAGACTTGTCTAGCACACAGTATTGACACTAAATACCTGATGAATGAATGAACAGAAAAACCAGCCTACTAAGAATGTTTGTGCCCTAACAAGAAGACTCAAAATGGACACAATAGAAATGTGCAATGCGTTAAGGAATACAATGTCGAAGTAGAAGCCATTTTGCTCTATGTGGCTGCAAGAATAAAAAAGTAGAAAGCTCAGGCATTCAAATTGTGGCGCAGCTAAAGGCTGACAGATAAGATAGAAGTGTTCAGGTTGGAGATGCACTATGCTGGAAGGGATAGAGGGTCCTTCACTCAAGAGGTATTTGGCTAGTCACTGGGCATAAGGCACTCAGGCATCTATTGAAAGGTTAAAGTGGATGATTTTAAAGGATTCTTTTGGTAAATGTAGGAAGACTGCTCTTGCCAACAGAGAAAAGGGGATGTTTTAGGGACATTTAGTTGGGTGGGGGGCGTAGATAACTGTCAAATTCTTAAAACTTAATCTGTGAATCAACATATCTTTGAAATAATAGTTTGATATCAACTTAGAAACATTTAACCATTTTTTTTTAAAGAATTGACTGCAACATGGAGAAAATTGTGGCTCTGCCATTTTCTAATGTACATCCCCCAGTCCCCAAACCCACTCTGAGGAAAAGAATGAATATATTTAGGAAATCTACAATGGAAAACAGGTAGGTAGAGACAGAAGGTGTAACTTGCCCTGTATTTCTGGTCCCAAAGGATCCCTGAAAGCTTTTGTGTTTCAATTAAAACTAGCCTGCCAGCTGGGTTCTTTACAAGAGATTCATCTGAATTCCGCCAAGGAAATGATTTAAAGAGCTTTCACCTCCCTTTATTGTTCTCTTCCAGCCTTCCCTTTTAAGTCTTTGCTACCAGCCACCAGCATTTAGTAGAAAGAAGGACAGATGCAAAAGTGTCAGTGAAATTGCTGCCTGCTGCTCTCTACAGCTAAATCACTTCAATCCCCTGACAATCGTCCCAGAGCCTGCCAGCTGCATGGACAGATCTCAGCTCCTCTCTTCTCTGAGCAGCAATCTCTCCACGTGAACAGGCAGACCCTTGGTTGACACTCTTAGATCCTAAAAATTGTGACTAATTAACTGAGTGTTGATCCCTGATGCAGTCAATGGAAACTTCGAAGTGCCATGCTGGTAAGGGCAGTCCCTGTAAAAGGGTTCTGGGTGGGATGCTGTGTCCTTGCAGTTGGGCAGATTCCATGATGGATGAATGTCACTGGCATGGACCATTTTTTCTCCTAATTGTTCACATTTGCTGACTCTTCCCAGGAGCACAAACGCATTCTCTAGCCAAATGGCAGTTCCTGTTTCATATACTACACGCCATCTCCTCACAGAGAGAGAATCCACAAAAAGGAAAGACGGTTTTCAAATATTATAAATATAATGTCTCCAGGAAAGCCCCACTTTTATTAAAAGTTTATTTCCCAAATGAAAATTACTCTCAAAATGAGGTTATATATAATAATAATAATAAAAAGAAGTAGCAATGTTATAATCACAGTCATTTATATATAATGTTCTACTAACAAGGAATTTTTATTTCTAGAATTTTCCTACTTTAAAATACTGCTTGACCTGATCATTTGATTCTAGGATTTTATTCTAAAGAAATAATCAGAGAAGCATGAAAAGATTTGTGTTCAAGGCATGTTGCATTGTTTTTCTAATGTTAAAAAAACAACTGAAAACTGACATCCATATAATGGAGAAATGATTAAAATACTGTGGTACATTTATCTGAATGTGTGGATAGTTTGGAGTCATTAAAATTGTAATGCTATTGAATAATAATGACATGGACTTAAACCAGGTGCCCATCAATGGTGGACTAAAAGAAAATGTGGTACATATATACCATGGAATACTACACAGTCATAAAAAAGAATAAAGTCATGTCCTTTGTAGCAACATGAATGCAGCTAGAGGCCATTATCCTAAGTAATCCAAAAACAGAAAACCAAACACTGCATG